TTAGGTCGGGGCCTGTGTTTGCCTTCAGTGTATCTTTTGTTTAATTCAATGACTAATCTTTGGGGGAGATAAATATTCATAAGAAACTATTATTGCAATCTTAGTTAATCTTATAAAGTTTCTCTGTTTTTTTTCTTTTGTAAAAGTCGCATTCAATATTTGTAGTCACAAAAAAAGATTGAATTAGAATAGCGTCTGAGATTTCTCTGTATAAAGTCGTTAGGATAGAAAATCCAGCAGTATTAAACGATGCTAATGTTGATATCCTGCTCCACAGCCTCTCACACTGATATTCTATTAAAGGATTAATGTGGACTTTCTAAACCTTCTCATTAATTCATTATGGTGATTAAAAGCCCCCACTTTTAGATTGCAAAGCAAGAATCCTTCCCTTCCTCTTTTCTCTTTCCTTCCCTGGATTTGTAATCCAAGAATTAGAGAAGCAAAAGCATTACCAGTATGGAGGTAGTCATGTGCCTTATTTTTTCTCTTCACTGGCTGTGAAAAATAAGTATGAGCAGCACACAGAACTCTGTTGGACGCTGGTGTAGCTGTCAAGTGGTCTTTCCTGTTAGCCTTCCTTTTAAATGTGTTCAAGGTAATAAGTCATCCTTAACATTCACACTGACATAACAAAATGTCTATGTTACAAAATTAGCCCCAAGATTATCAAATAATTAATAACAAATTTGTTGGTGACACAAATGATGTCAGGTTTTTGTATTAAGTACGACCTTGATTCCCAGCATTCACTATTTGCAATCCTTTTGTCGACAAATAACATCTGCCAATGAGTAACAGTTGGGTTCAAGCAAGAATAGTTTTTAGTGATTCTAGTCCTAAAAATTTACCAGGTTGGTAACACTTGCAGTCAAATGCCATTGTTTAGCCTCCATGGAGTAAGAAATGGCCATACAATCTCTTTCAAAATCTTTCAAGCCTTAAAGGAATCAGATTTTAAAATGGGAATAAGGCCAGCAAGATAGCTCAGCGGTCTAAAGTGGCTGCTTAGGCAAGCTTAGGCAAAGCAAAGGGACCACGGTTTGATCTCTGGCACCACATGCCATGCCAGCCCTGCCCCAATGTGGGCTGAGCCAGCCACTAATAAGAGTGATGATGATGATGATGATGATGATGATGATGATGATGATGATAAAATGAGAATATATCTATTCCCTTCTTGACAAACAGTTCCTTTGAAGTCACCAATGAGCTCATTGTTTTAGTACTTTGGGTTTATGTCAATCTGTTGAATAAAAAGTGAAAAAAATGTTATATGATGTGAGTGAAATAGGAAACATTGACTTACTGTGTTATCAAAATCACAAAGAAAACAGTGAGAATATTGCCTGGTCAAATTTTCCCTGATATAGTGGAAGCTGCCAGCTAAGTGAGAGAGAAGTCAAATATGATCCATGTGGATTAGATTAGGAGACCTCAGTAGGAACTCAGGTTCATCTTTGAATAGAGAGGGCTGCATATGCAGCTAGTTATAGATGTGTCACTATGCAAGGTTATTACCCACACATGGACTTCCTTGCTTTGTAAGCTAAGAAGACACAGAAACAAAGACACACAGTGACAACCAACATATCTTGATTCTGAAATCTATTCTGTAATTTATAAAATGTCTTGGGGCTCCTTGGGGAAATGGTTGGTCCTAGGACTGGGGCTGCATACATACAATGTGAGGCTAGCTCATCCTACAGTGGCAGAAATAAGAAAGTACTCAAAAATAAAACAATCTACAAATAATAGAGCCTGGTCAAAGGAACGGAGCCAACTGAAGAAGTTAAATATGTAAATATTTAAGCAGTAAATCAGTATGTGATTATAACTCAAAGTATAATATAACCATTCATGAGTCTAAGTTGATATAAATACATGGAAAAATAGAGGATAATAAATAAATATCCTGTGAAAGATAATTCTGAGTAATTCAGGTAGCTATTCTACCCTCAAGGAGGTAGACTATAAGTCCTTAGCCCTTAACAGTGGGCTGGGCAAAGTGATCCTTTCAAGTAGATCCCCTGGAAACGGTGAGAAGAGACACCTGACAAACACTCCCTCAGTGCTCAAGCTTAAAGCCCAGAATGGTAAGTTACAGGGGTGCTGTGAATCTTTGATACAATGTAATGTGGATGACACCTCTGTCATCTTCCAAAAACCACTGCCCCGGTCTACTCATGAGGAAAACATCACACGAATTCCAATCAAGGAACAGTCTACAAATCACCTGGTCAGTACTCCTCAAAACTGAGGAACAACAAAACAAAGAGTTCGAGAAAATGTCACAAGAGTAGCCTAAGGAGCCATGTCTAATATTTTATCATCTCTTGGATGACATCCTTGAACAGAAGAGAGAACAGAAGGCTAAAAATAAGCAAATCAGAAGAAAATGTGTGTTATTATTGGTTTATTTATAACAAATGTCCTGTCCTATTAGAAAATCTTAATAATTGGGGAAACTACATGAGGGTCCTACGGGAACTACTTACACTGCCTTCACAATTTTGCTGCAAAAATCTACTTTTACTCTACAGTAAAAAGAGGTAACTACAACTTTTCTTAAGTACTCCAATTTCCACATTTAACTATCCATCTCGACTTTAATTGGGTGTCAATATTCTAACAGCATCCAATTTAAATTATTAGTCTCCGACACATTGTAGATTCTTCTAGGTGCTTTAACCTAAAACAAATTTTACCCTGAGAATAGTCTTTTTAATTGTTTGATAAATATTTTCAAAGTTGCTTGTGTGTTATCATCTCAGTGATTGTACAATTTATGATAAAAGGTTATTACAGCTTGGCTGTTATTAAAACTCTGTTAGGACTGTCTGTCTAAAAACACTCACCTCTGGTCAGCCTCACTCCGAGTGGCAATGAGTGTGGAAGGTGTCATTGCAAGTCCAATCCTGCCCCTCATGTCCCTGTCTCTTCATTTATGCTGGTCTAAAAGCATTATTTGAGCTGGAAGATCATTCTGTAACCTTCAGATCACTGCTGGGTGGCTTCAGCAGAAAAGGAATTACCAATGCATTAAATTTGAATTAGCTCTGAGAAATCATGCAGATGCATGCACAGAGTATTACAGCAGTACTGTCTCCCAGGCACAGCAGAATTGCTTTTATGCAGTTTTAAGGAATCACTTGAGAAACCTTTAAATTGCACACAGGATGAAGCTGAGCCAGCATCTTCTGTTAAAAAAAAAAAAAAGGCACGTGGCCCAAGCGTAGCCTGAACTGTCTTGCAGAGAAGTGTGATCACACGAGGAGGCTGCTGAGTGGCCTGCTTGGGTCTTGGTAGTGCCACATTAGAGCGCACCGGCAGAGGGACTTCAGAGTGTCACTGAGACCAATGATTATGAATTATGCAGAGGGTCATATCCTCTTAGTTACAACTCATTTACACCATTTCCCTCTAGACTTCCAGGCCTGGTTCAATTTTTTCTCCACCTGCTAAGAAATAACTCAGAGTTAAATTTATTGGCATTCTATTTCTCTTCCATAATGTCAAGTTTGAAAAACAGCCAAATGGTATGGGGGTAAGCGGGGGAGAGAAAGAAGAAAAAAAAAATACTGCCCTCAATAAAATTGTAGCAGGAACAATTCAGGCTTATCTTTTGTCATCTTTGTCAAGTTGCTTCTCTTTTTCAATTTCAGACAGTTCTAATCACTCTGTTTTCTCCTTTACCTGCAATTAAATGACAAAGATGGCATAGCAGGGAAAGAGCCTGCTAAGGCTCAGCTTCACACATCTTCATCTGTAAGTTTCAGAGGATAGTTAAGAACAAGGATAACAGGATTATCAGAGAAGTCTTCCTTAGAATAAAAGTCTGTCAGTTTTCACTGTAGTTTTCTAAACCTAAGGCCTGCAGACTACACCTGAGATGAAGGAGGTCGTAGAAATTCCAGGCATTTTCACAAAGGGTGTGGATGGAGACGCCACTCGTTGAGATGACACAGCTGTGGATTCAGTGACGTCCATTGAAATAATACAAGGTCCTGCTTTCCCACTGCTTGCTGACCTTAGCTTCAGTGGGAAAAAATAAGGGGCAATGACCTTTCCCCCAAAACAGACCATTTTCATAGTCGGAGACTGTTTCCCACGATAAAGGAAGCCTGGATTAAGGACAAAGGTGTTTTCCAAACTGACGTGGTACAGTTCACTCTGAGAAGAGCTGAGGAGAGCAGAACACCTCAAGGCTTTAAGCCAACTTCAAAGCCAGAAGGCCTCGTTATTGCTGATACGCTCTTGGTCATCCGGCCGTGCAGAGCACTGGCAGTGCCGGGCCAGGCCCAGGAGAGCCACGCTGCCAGCTGAGCTCTGCAAACAGAGAGCCTTGCAGCTAGGAGGGAAGGAAAGCACTGTGGACTGCTGCTCACACTTTCAATGGGAAACTGACTTTCATGGTGGCATGAGGACGGCTTCATGCCACAGCATCTTGCTCTCACTGAGAGACCTGTGTGTCGCAGGCCATTCCTCAGAATCTCAAGTGTCACTCTCATAGCAGAGCAAGAGGTTTCCTGTCACACAATGCCAGCTGGATCACATTCCCATGATCTTCGTTTGTTCCCAAATAAGCCCAGGAAAGCTTGCAGAGGGCAAATGGGGTCAACGCAGTGGAGTTAAGTGACATTTAAAGGCTTTCCATGATGGAATGATTCAGAGATCACAGCAAGAGGCTCCACTTCGTGGCCATGCTCTTCTGCTCAAAGCTCAACTCTCCCAGGAAAAGGTCACATGCTAGGCTGCCCCACTGGCCAGCACTGTGTCCCCCATGTCTCCCTTTCCCTTCCCTGGGCTCTGCTCCACAGCCCTCAGCCTTCCTCACTTGGGCTGAGCTTGCTGCTCCCTTTGTGACATACCTCCCTTTGCGACAATCATTCCTTCAGTGTCCTCTCACAGGCTCCTTCTCCTACTTCTTTTTTTTTTTTTTTTTTTTTCCATCCATAACGGCTTGCAGGACAGAAAAAGAAGTGAAGCCGTCCAAGCCCTCAGTAGGTGACCTGGTACACGGAGACCCAGTCCTTGGCGCCTGCGATGATCAGCCGGTTGTTGGCGGACACATCACAGCAGGTGATGCAGGCTTTTTCAGGCATCTGGAACTCGGTGGCCCCTGTGGGCATCCCATGAATGGTGACCAGCTTGTCTGTGCCGACGCTCACCCACCACTGGCCAAAAGGGGAGAACTTGAGCCCCAGGATGGCACCCTCTTTGTGGCCTGCGTTGCGTGCTTGGCCCCTGATGGTGGGCTGCAGGAAGTGCTGCCCGCTGGCCAGACCCACCAGCAGCCAGTCATCCCAGGGGGTTTGTGACAGGCTCGTGATCTGGAGGAGCAATGTGGTCAGATGGGCCAGGGACCCAACTGGCCGCGCACTGAGACACAGGCTGCCCTGCTGGGGACTGGAGGCCGCAAGGGCTTCCAGGACAGGCTGCTGGGCACCTGTGGACAGCAGTGGTCACCACACCTGAGAGTTAAAGAGGTGCTTCCGGGTCATCTGAGACGCCCTCAGGTCCCAGTACCGCAGATGGCCATTCAGGCCCCCTATCCAGATGGTGTCATCTTTGACCACGATGCTGTTGGCCTCACCCTGCCGGCCAGGGAGGTCCTTGACCACATTCGGGTCCCGAAGGTCCCAGATCCTGACGGTGCCATTGCTGAAGCCTGCGAAGGCCAGACTGCCCTTGGGGCAGGCGTCCAGGGTCAGGCAGGAGAGCCCCTTGCAGGACAGCTGGCGTGGCTCGTTCAGGGATGGTGCCGACAGGTCCCACACGTTCACGCCTGGCATGTTGTGGCCGCCCGCAAGGAGCATACTGCCATTGGGGGTCAGCAGGCACGTGCGCAGGTATGCACCCGGGGTCTGGACGGGCCAGTGCAGGTTGCTCCTGGGAAGGATGGCCGGGGCCCCCTGGCTGTCCAGATGCCACACCTTGAGGCCTCCCACACCGCAGGTGAATACGTGGCGTGTGAAGCTGTTCACAGCTGTGGACAGCACGCGGGCCCCAAGCTGCAGCTCCTGCAGCCTTTCCACCTGGTACGGCACACAGAAGCTCTCCGACTGGCCCGGCTCAGCACCTGGCCACACCCATTTCTTCTCCAACTCCTTGTGGTCCCAGGATGTGGGCTTCAGGAACACGGGGTGTGCTCCTTTGAAGGGCGCCTGGGCAGCACTGTGGCTCTTGATGGTCTCTTCAAGGTCCTCCCAGGAGTCACTAAGCAAGTCCTCCGACTCCAAGTCCAGCAACGTTGAGCACTTGCCCTTCTGCTCACGGTTGCAGGAGTCAGGAGTTGTAACAGCCCTGTGCACGTCCTGTGTTCAGGTGCTGGAGCACCCCAAGGTGCTGGGCATGGGGTTCCCAACTTGGTCCCTATTCAGACTCCCATCTTTCCCCAGGCCTGGTTCCCACTTTTTGGGACTCTGTACTGCCACCTTTTTGTAAGCAAAAGTCCCCCTGAGGTCCTTGGTGAGGACACTTGGCTGCTCAGCCTTGCAAGATATTGGCAGGAATGGCCGGGTCTCCTGCAGGCAATCCTCTGCCCTGGGGGGCCACCACTGCTTTGCCAGCACACGGGTCTTCTGGCCCACAGGGCCTTTGCAATGCCATGTCTGGGGCTTCTCTGCTTCTGGGATCCTGCGGGGAACTGGCTCCCTCTCTCTCAGCTTGAACTGTTTCCCAGAGGAGGTTGGGTGCTCCAAGGGACTCACTACCTTATTTTTGCCTTGAAGATTCATCGGCAGCTTACGATGGCAAAGCTGACCAAGATGAGGGGGATGCAGGATGGGATGCGGGATGGGACGCGGCGTGGCCTGCGGGGTCAGGGTGGCCAGCTGGGACCCCATGTGCAAGGTTCCTCTTGCTGTGAGATACTGTGTGAGCCTCCTTCTCCTACTGCTGCAGGTCTCAGCTTAACCGTCAGCATGTGTGCAGTCAGACTCTCCCTCAGAGGGCATCCTGCTTGGATGAGACCTGCCCATGTGCACTGCTTTATGTTCTAACTAGCTCTGATATCTGTGGAAGACTTGGTATGCTACTCACCTCTTTGTTCATTCTCAGCTCCCAAACAAATTCAACTACATGAAGGCTTTCTTTTCATCACTGCTTTATTCCTAGAAACCAGATAATACCTGCTGCATAGTGCATGCTCAGTATTAGTTGAGGAATTAATACAGTGAGCTTTAATGTTTCTTTGCTCTCTGTCCCTTCTCAGCCTACTGTCCCTCACCTCCACAGCCCTCCTCTTCCCCCACATAGACACCCCTTGCATGCCCCAGGACAGACAGGCCTTCTGAGGGCTCTTTCCTGGAACACAGCCATGCTGCTAAACACAAAACAGAAGTGCCCTCCTTTATGGGTTTTGTTTTCAGGAAGACTCACCTTCCTGAGGGCTTAATAGGAAGGGAGAGTAGGAGGAAGCAGCCTTCATGGACCTTCTTTCCAAGCTGAGAAGGGCCTGCTTCCCTCCCCTGGGCCTGAGGCCAAGGACACACAGTCTTTGGGAGGTGTGGGGCACCTGGCAGGGTTGGGGCTCAGATGGCCAAGGGCATGTGGCTTAGCAGGAGGCTTTCTTCTGTGTGATGCTCAAAGGTCACTTATTTCAGTGGGCAGGCCTCCAAAATGGTACAGAAAAGGGCCAGGGAGATAGCTCAGTAGAACAGGAACTTGCCTGGCAAGTGCATGAGTTCAATCCCTGGTTCCTCCCAAATAAAAAAGAGAAAGAAAAAAGGTACAAAAAGAAGTTTTGCCATTAGGTATAAAAGGACCCTGATAAAATTTGTGCTCATTTAAAGACATTAAAGAAATGTGCTATTTCTTCATACCGAAGTAGCCACTCCTATTTGGTTTAATGCACTGGTATCACCCCCATGACATTTTCAAATTTCACTATATGGTATTGTTTTGTGCATCTGATTTGACTGAGCGCTTGATCAGAGGTGAAAGCTGGACCAACCCCCAGGCCCACAAGCAAGGCAGGTAGAATGAACCCAGAGGCACGGCCGTGCCAGGACAGCAAGGTACCAGGCCCAGGTGTGGACAACAGCAGGAGACGCGGTCATAGAGGGAGTGTCCACCGAGGTTTGAGAGAGAGGGGTGCCCCTTAAGGGGATTGGTGATATCTGTCCTTTCCCAGAGCCCATCTCAAGGGTGTTTGCACAAATATCACATCTCTGACTTGAACACCAGCGCAGGAAGTTCTGGTACTGAGGCAATAAACTATGTTCATAAATGATTACAAACCAGGAGGGGACATGTGGTCAGCTCAGGGAGTTGCTAGAGTTTTTTAAGAAGCTCAGAATCATCAGTTTTGGAAACTGTTACAGCACTGAAAAGAAAATGCCCACAGGATTAAAATTAGAACTTAAATTTAAGGGTTGTCATATTGGAAGCAATAGTATTCTATTTTTATGAAGCTTAAGGTGAATCAATTATTAATAAGGTGAACAATTTTTAAATTAATTTCTTCTTACAATTGAAGAGCTGATGATAGAACACATAACCAGACTTTTTAAATTAAATACAAAGCATGACACCACTTTCAGTTGGTTACATGACTATCACAGCATACAGGAAATATCAGAAAGAATATTAAAGCATCATTGTATAAAAATTACACTTGTTGGGCCGGGAAATGGCTCAGTAGAATAAGCACTTGCCTGGCAAGTACAAGGGCCTGAGTTCAAACCCCAGTTCCACCAAAAACAAAAAAAAAAAAAAACCTAAAATTACACTTGTTCAATTACAACAATTCAAAGCTGGTTTATAAGAAGAGTTAAATCTTTTGGAAAAATTACTATATAATATTCCCTGTTTTAGATATACAAAATGTATATTTTTAAAACAATTTACCATAAATGTATCCCAATGTCATCTAGCCCACAAAATACCTTGAACATATTAGCAATGGTATCACCCAAACAATATTTCTCAAAAATTAAAAATTATTTGCAATCTTGAATATTTCTAAGAGCAACTGACATTACTTTCAATTATATCCACTGAAAATATAGTGTCTAAGCAGTGTAGACTTGGCAATCTGAGGAAGGAATTTACAGAAAAGTAAACCTGAAAATCTTTATGCTCGAAACTACATTAATTATTTTACTTTACTTTGTTATATCAAATTTTATCTCAAAGTATTCTTCCATTTGTTTGTATTTTTAATCATGTTTTGTTACAAATATATCACTCTTACTCTACTGTGTTTTATAAGCAATAAATTACTGTATAGGACCCAACGTTTTAATTTTGTCCTGGGCCCCACAAGTTATGCAACTCACTAGTTAGCAAGGTCTAGGGATACTTTGATCCCACAGCTGATGGGCAGCTGTAACTGATGTTTAGGGGAGAGAGGCCAAAGACGCTGTTGCACTTTGCGCAGTGCACAGGACAATGCCCACCACGAAGGGTCACCGTGCCCAATGTGTCAAATCTAAAAAATGTTGTTGCAGACTAACTTAACTCATAAAACTGGGGCAGACTAATTTAAATCATGGAACTGATTTAGAGTCTCAATGCTGATGGACATCGAATTGCCTGACCTTCGTGATAGGATAGTAAGGGGGTGGGATTGCAATTCATTGAATCTGACTTACATTAACTTGAAAAAAATAAGAATGTGCAACATTTCATGAATACTGAAGATGCAGCTACACATTCATCTCTATGATATGTGCAACATTCTCCCAGGATTGCTGACACTCTGTACAATTCACAGGTTTTTATGATGCATAAAAGTGAGATTGGTGCTTTCAGAACAAGGAATGAACAGCTACAACTTCCAAGAGGGTCTTGCGAGGGGTGAGGAAATGGGGCAAGTTCGTGATGAACTGAGTTTGGAAGAGTAGGATCGGTACTTCTGAACTATGAGATGGGTAAATACAGACTGGTGATCAAAAGTACACAAAGAAGAATAAATACAATATTATGGGCATTTGCTGGTAAGATTAATTTCAGTCACAATGCCAACCCTAATTACTCTACACTGATAGTACCTATGAAGGAGAAGTGATAATAAATCTTAATAATCTGTCTTTTCTGGGTTTCTACAAACATGGATTTTTCTTAGAAATAATGTGATGGCATGCAGCAGTTGATCTTGCCAAGGCCTGGAAGAAAGGAGCAGCCCTTATTGTCCAGCTTCTGGTTGTGTCACAAGGATAGGCTAACATACTAGGCTAGGCTATAAAAATGCTCATCCTTCTTTCAATAAAGATGACGCTGGACCAAAAACCAAAGTTATTTCTAAGGCATGAAACTGCAATTCAAAAACAGCATTGCAAGTGAATCTTGAGGATAGCTGGCTTGCGAGAAGCTATACACAGGTATCAGACACAGGCGGGTAAGAGAATTCCACAGCACTGAAACTTTCAGCTTTGGAGGGTATTTGTATTGTAAAAGTATCAAGACTTCCATCATTAGGATTGCTTATAAAGCTTTTCAGCTTACTGAAATCTACTTTATATGGCAAACTAAATTCTTAAATGGTCCCCAGAAAATACATCAACTTTTATTCTGAGGTTTAAAATCTCATGAAGGACACTAGCTAAGAATATTCAAACTCAAAGCACAAATATAACCTATGTGAGAGTCGTGTTGGCATGTTCCATTCCCAGAAGCATCTGACTCATCTCTAATCCACGCCAGCTCCTCCTATCAACAGGACTAAAGGCAAATTGATTGCACTTTCCTTGTCAAAAGGACCCAGGGCAAGATTGATCCACTCCAGGGGCACAGCTGAGGCCACACAGATAGAGAGGAGGAAAGGCTTCATCACAGCATTGAATGATGTGCAAGCTTTAGGAGATGTCCTTCAGCAACTGCCTGAAAGCCAGGGGCCAAGGTGAGAATTCTAACCATGCAGTAGAGCATCCGATAAGTCTGCATCCAACATGGTGGCTGGAATCCGCATGGGAAACACCTTGGGAGGACTGGCTCAGTGAAGAGAGGATGGCCCGCCCCTGCCTCAGAGGGTCGTACTGTACTGGTGCCTCCAACACTTGGAAAAGTTCTTCTTTTGTGCTTTACTTAAGCAGATGGACATTTCATTATGAACTCCACCCAAGAGGAAGCTGTGCTTGGAACAATAAAGTGAAGACAACCTCACCAGGCTTGGGAGGCAAGAGTGGTCTTAGCGAACTATAAAATAATCAGCAAGTAAGAGAGGTGCATTTTCTTTCTTACCTTAGAACTTGAGAAGGAAGGGTTTTTTTTTAATTTCTAGAATATATCTTAAAATACTAGGTACACAATATGGAAAGACAATTTGATAAACCATTAAATTGAGTCAGCTCTTTTGTACTTTTGTCTCACTGACTCTGAAGATCATGTGAAAATTTCAGTCTCCTTCAAGTTTTAATACATACTGGCTCTGGTTGAATGAGCAGTGTTCAAGCCCTAACTGTTCTTCAAGGCCTTCCTAGTTCTGCAACATCCATACTCTACTCAGAGCCCAGGAATATTCTATGTATCTGGAGCTCCAACACCCAGCATCTTGCTTCTTCAAATATATCATTTGTCATTTGCTTATGAGGTTCTGCAGCTCCAAATCACAACTATGATCAAATACATTGGCATCTGTTGCCCACAAGCACTGGCAACAGCAACAGATGCCCCCCAGAGCCAGAGGAGATTTGCAAATGAATGTCCTCCTGCCTCATTCTCCCCCTTCAGTTCTCTACTCTGTGAGCTCATTGGAGGATGCTGTCACAATCAGGATGTGTAGTTTTCTGGCTTACAGGCCAATCATCTCTGGAGACATTTCACAGACACATCTAGAAATGTGCTTGGTAATCTGCTCAGTGTTTCTTAATCCAGACAAGTTGATAATCACAATTTATGTTCA